ATGTCCGCTATGTGCTCGGAATCAAGCTTTATAATAATAAAGCATCTTCAAGGAAATATTACAGCAAGGCTTTTAGCACAAGGAGCACGGCAAAAGGTAAGCTTATAATTGGTATTGAATAAGTCTTATTCCTCTTTCCTTAAAATGTGTTTCGGGAGTATACTAGCAAAGGCTCATTAAGTCTGGTGAAGAAATCCCTACCGAGACCAGGCGTTTCAGAACTGTCATCAATATTCCAGTTAGTGCTTGTGGATTAAATATTGATCCCCACTGCAAATGTTATTATTGACCTCTTTACTGTTCAACAAGAAGTCCTAGAGGCGCAGATAAATTAATGTAATTCTCGTTATTAGATATATTGAAGTTTTTTTTTTCTCATAGTAGATTAGATATCGATATAGTGGAAATTGTACCACCTGATGGACTTTGATCAATAAAAATTACAAAGGTATTATAAGCTAAATTGGGAAATGGAAGGGGATTCGGGGAGCGCGCTAGTGTTGTATGAATCTACTGGTTACCACTCTAATCCTCGGAAAAGGAAAAATCCCAAATTCCCCGTGCGTTGTTTATGATCTGCATCGATTTAAACACGTGATTTAATTATAAACTTTTTTCGTTTCTGGAGAGCACGTTTAATATTAAAAATTTAGGGAAAAAAATAGAAAAGCGCCAATGCCCAAAGAAAAGAAGGAAAGGAAGGAAAGAAAGGCAAAAAAGACTGAAGGTGAAACGAAATCTAAAAGCGAGTCAGAAGATACGATCCATGTGTCATATAATTTGGAAGCAGTGGTGGAGATAGCGCAGCCTTTAGCATCAAAGGATCTTACCAAGAAATTGCTAAAGACCGTGAGGAAAGGTCCGTGCTTGTATATTCATAAATCGATTAAACATACATATGAACATTCATCTCGTAATTTCGTTGGGTTTATAGCTGCGGCTAAGAAACACATAAAGCGTGGTGTCAAAGAAGTCGTGAAGGGTATACGCAAGGGCGATAAAGGGCAAGCCTGATCCACCGCTTTCGAATATCGTTTCCCATATTTAGCACCATCAACGCACGCTAATACCCATCCCCTTGCACATTAAATATGTTAGTCTTGTGATAGTGGCTGGTGACGTATCACCAATAGACGTAATTACACATCTCCCTGTATTATGCGAGGAAGCGGGCGTGCCTTACGTTTATGTACCGTCAAAGACAGATTTGGGGCTTACAGCATCGACTAAACGGCCTACGAGTGTAGTGATGATTATTCCCGGTGGGAAGAAAAATGATGAGGCCGCGTTTTTGGAATACAAGAAGTATTATGATGCATGTTATGCAGAAGCGAAGAAGCTGGTTTGTGAATTCATTTAGGAAAGGACAGTTGTATTGTGTTTTTATTAATTGTTTCTTTGTTTCGTAGGGCGAGGATTTAATGACATAAGCCGGGAAGACAATAGTTCTATCACGACCGCCTGTATGCATTCAACCTCTAAACACATCAGGAACGTCCTACTAATTCCAACCACTCAACGAACAATAGAAACTTTTTTCAATAAAGAAAATCTCAACGTGCCGTGTGTTCACGAGCGTAAGCAGCAAGCATTCGGTTCCTATGTTCCAGCTTGTTCTCAATCTCAATCTTAAAGGCCGCATACTTTACTTCATACTCATCAAGAAACTTTGCCCGTTCCCTCTCCCACACTGGGTCAGGTTCAACCTCCACATCAGTGTCCATTTCGTTTACTATCTTTTCAAATCGTGTTATCGGCTTTTGTAATGTTAGTGATTCCATGCTTGACTCGCGTTCCAATAATGATTTATCTGATGCTTGAGATCCAATCGAGTCTTCACGGAGCATTGGAGCGCGATGTCTCTTTATCGTGGTAGAAAGACGGTTGTCTTAAATGAGAGAGAAATAAGTACGTGAATAGTATCAAACAAAAATGTCACGCAACTCGGCAATTACCTAATTTCCTTTTCATTACACGCTCTCTCTCCTCAGCCATACGAGTTTCTTGTAAATTTTTCTGTCGATTTCTCTCATTGAGCTGGGCCCACATATCTAAGCGTGCGTCTGCGCTTTGAGCTTGTTCAGCCGTCGTGCGATCAATTTCTTCTATTCTTCGTTGTATTTTTCTGACATCCTCTTCATTGTTTTCCGCTTCTGCGACCGCTTTTCTGTGCAACAGATCGGCTTTCTCAGCGGCGAGGTTTTTGTATGATCCGCGTAGAGCTTGTTTGGCTTTAACCATTTCAGCAACTTCTCGCTATAAGCAGAATCCTCTGAGGTTGAGAAGTTTGACATGTAGGATGAAATTTGTAATATGAACCATAGATTGAGAACCTACTTCATCCAACGAATAATTGTTGGCGGCTTGGATATCTGCTAGTTTCTTCTCGATATGGCCTTTTGTTGGTAAGACTTGTCCTGATTCTACTTTGATGACTTTTAACCATCGCTCCCATTCAGACTATATGGAGAGAATATGTCACATCAGATTAACCGCTAAAGCAAGTGATAATAGTGTTTCTGACTGCCAACAAAAATCTCTATTTGGACATATCAGCTTACGTAAGTCAATCTTGAATTGGACAACCCACTTATCGGCCACGCCTTCTGCGCGTTTCCGTGCCTCATGAGTAGTGCCTGATCTGTCAACGTGTTTTCCACTTTATATGTCGAACTGAATGGAACGACTCCTATAACAAATTATCATCAGCCGTGTAATGCAAATTCTCATGGACATTAAATACCGAAGTCGGTGACTGACCTATAACCTCGCACAATCGATATATTTGTTCACCGCTATCATTTGTTCCCAAGTATACCCTCGCATAGCAGCCAATGGCCGTTTTATTAAAATACGGTGCGAAAAGCCACTTTTCAATTTGCCGCCGAGTCAATACTATTTTTAATAGATCGTCATATTCGGCTGGCGTGTCATCATCTGTTTTCCTCTTCAAGGTTTTTTTCGCAACATTTTTAATATCAATAGATATGAAAAACTTTAATGATGAACTCTAATAATGCAACTTACCGAGTATCGAGGTTCGTCTTGTTCCATTTCATCGTCTCCAAATTCACCTTCATCGTGGTCCTCAGATAGTTTTTCATCACCACTGGAAGCCTCTAATTCATCAAGGTGAGATGACTTTCCGGCCTATATATGATGGCAAGATGCATTCGCATGAACGGACGGGAATTAGTAAAAAAGATTTTGCAGACTGGAATGGAAAAGAGATCACTATTATACATACAGCACGGTTCCTGGTTCTTTCAGTGCGAGCTCTTCTTGCGTCGTCCAATACTTGTTTTGTCGATTTCTGCGACTTGGCCCTTGCAGACTCTATATAAAAGCAAAAAACAAATTTAAGAATGCTAGAATGAGTCATAAATCAAGTCATGCAGTTTGCCGTTCGTCAGAATACTCACTTCTGGTACCATCAGTATCTTTGACTTTTCTTTTTGCAGCCTGTTTCTCTTCTTCGCGGAGACGACGCAAATCAGCACGTCTTTGTTTCTAATGTATATGCGGATATCAAATTTTCTTGTTGATCAGTTATTACGTTGTGATGCGCAAAAGCAGCGGTGACCGAACCGTTTAGTAGAATCTATTCTTATCGTTCTTCTTATAAGGCTAAACAAATCGGTTCACTCTAAGGTTTAGTTGGTCTCACCTGAACCGCTGCTATGAAGATAACGCGTATATTTTGTGCTCGTATTTTCAACAAACCTTCTCCATTCTGTCGGCCAAGATTTTCTCTCTCTCTACTTCCGGCAGCGCCTCCAATTGTCTCCTATCTTCCTCGTCTCGATACCCTTCCTCGTCATATTCGTCAGAGTCTTCTAACTCGGCGCCATCGTCTATGTCAGAATCAGGCTCTTCTCGATCGTTATGCACTTGCGACTGGTTTTCTTCCTCGCTCGGCTCGTCGTTTTCTGCATTTTTATTTTTCTTCACTTGATCTCCGGCAAGTGCAAGGATCTCATTTTCTAAATCACTCATTGTGGATCAAACAGCTTTCTTGTCAGCACGAAAAATAAAGTGTGTAGATGAATAGACAACTACAGTAGTGTATGACAGAGGGCTGCCAGTATTAAGTATGCGATGTGTATGACAAAATCATTATAATTGTAGGATCGCGTCGAGCGTATGATATTAATATGTAGCTACGTATTGCCCTACTGCAGCTAGCCAAAAAAAGCCATATTGATATAGTGGACTTTAGCAATTCCGTCTCTGCTTTAACTGTCTGTAGCCAAATAAATTCACTCAAAAGTTGTGGCGTGTTCCGCATGGCCCACTCAACAAACCCATGTTCACCGCAGGTGAGCACTGGCGAAAGGGGTGAGTTGAGGGGCGTCACCGGTAGCTACCCACCAGATTTGTGCCCATCTACCAGCAAGGAGAGCAGCTACTTAGTAACCAATCGTAGAGCAATAGTCAGTAAATATGATTATTTTTTTATCTACTCGCATGATGATATGGCGTAAGCGTTCATATAATATATGAATAGTGTTTGACCCTTTCATTAGTTGGTAAACCGTATCGTTAGAGAACTTGTTTATTGTCTTATGTGCCATAAAGGATGTTTGCTGTATATTTGACTTGCACTTTAGGCGACGAAACGCTGTTGTGAGGCAATATATGTATATAAGTACGCGTGTTCATCGTTTATGTGTCGATTGATATTGTAGCAACTGTCGTACATGCATAATATGGAGTAGCGGCAAAGTTATTTGAATCTTCGTACATGTTCAAACGGAAAACAAAGCGATATTATTTAATTGAAAAAAGTTAATACTCATTCTTGCCAAAAATTTTCTTAATTATTAATGTATGAGAAACGGGCTTTTTATCAAAGTCTTACACCACAAGATGCATCAGTCACAAACAACAAGCAACACACAATTGCGAATAGGTTTTCGTCCCGAACGCTTTGCATTGCAAGCTTCTTCTACATCGAGCGGGTTAAAATTTGAAGAGAAAAAAAACACGAGCGGTTCCATAATCAACATTACGTGTATTCCTATCAAACTAAGTTTGCCCATTGAAAGGAGTCAATTTCAACATGGACAAGCATCACTGCACACACACTCCCTCCGCTGAATAAGTACGTTGTACCGAACTACTTTGGTTATAAACAGCACAGCAACAACATAACCCACACATTGCAACTAACCACAAACCATAGACAAACCAAAGTAAAGCAAGAATGTATCCATGTGAAAGGTCATCACTAAATAAATCGTTAAACCGTTTTGTTAGTGAATTTTTGTGAGTTGCAGCAATTAATCGTATGAAGAGTACCAGGTAGAAGTTACGGAAATACTAAAAAGGATAAAGAGAATAGTGTTATTACAGTTGCACGTTTGGTTTGCATACAAAGCATTGCCATACCATCGACAAGGACTTGTAATCAGGTAATGTCTTGGTAACCCAAAATTTATAGTCAATCCGGTAGAGCAGTAATCGAGTCAGTGATATATTTCTAGTACTCTGCTTGTTATCGTTTATAAATGTACGAAAAATTTTAAAGCTGAAAAATGATTTTTTGATCTAAAATTTAGGCAAGCGTGAAGACATGTTGGATAAGCAGATAGTTAATATTCCAGAAAAATTACTAATGCAAAAGCATTACGCTTATATAAGAATACAAGTAATAACCCAAGACATAGCTATTGTATTATAAATCATGCTTTTACATATCAAACGCGGAAAATGGGAATGGTAATATATTTATAATTGCTCTGAAATTATAAAAAATTATACGCGCACTTTGCGTAATTTATATTATATTTAGTCGTACACCATGGTAGAAAAATATTAGACTGTGGTACTACTGCAAAAACATTACGACAAAATTTGAATAATTAAATACTAGAATAACTAATAAAACTAAAATCACAATTGCAAATTATCTTGAAAGAGAAAAAATAAATATATATACATAAACCTTGGATACAAAACTTTATTTAAACTTTTATTACGTTTGTACAAAAGTTCAGGAAGCAATCGACATAGAAATTAAAGTCGTAATTTTTGCATCCGTTGATAATTTCTAAAATGTTTGTTCAAAATGTATAGATCTAGTTGCACTTTGCTTCAATATGTTTTATCAATATGTGAAGCTATTGGACAATTTTATACGCACTAATACTAACGTGTAAATTGTTGCTAGGAAGATGTTGCAATTATTCATACGACCAGTATGCTACAGTTCGCTTTTCAACAATGTCTTATTTCTGCATGTTTTAAGTATATGACAATGCTATGCAACTTGTAGCTAATGTATGTCTGCCGTTTCAATACTTACATACTCATACTTTATGTAATACATCACTGTTGTATATCGCAGCGACCGCTTCCGACCACTCGCTAAATCTTTAGGTATTAACGTGCAGAACATGCACAG